GAGGACGCTAGTTTGTGTCCTCCCGTGACCCTGAGGAGAACTATGGGGAAAAACACTTACCCCATAGTTCTCCTTCAAGGCCCTCATTTTGGGTTGACACGTGTCAGAATTGTTGCTTGTATGGAGGATTAACAGAAGCCTCTATTAAGCACCGAGGTTCTGCTTCCCGACACTGGATGGGGGGAGGGGGGGTAGAGAGCATGTTTTGTACTTTGTGATGAACTGTGAATTGATGTTTTAAGACAATAAAACCTCCAGTTAGGTTTATACTTTTATTTATAGAAGTGATTATATATGTACTTAGGTATATTTAAGCAGTCCACAAATCGTTGCACAAACGATGAACCTTGACTGCTGGAATTTAGGATGTGGTCAGTCTGCTGCAAAAAGAGAAATCACCTGCCCACTGACCTGCTGATCCACCAATCAGTGGCCTACATATTAAACTGGATATCAACGCAAGCAAGTCATCCATCCTGCCTTGGTGGCGTGGACTAGTGATTGCCTGCAGTCATGATGCAGCTCAAATCTAAAGCTGCCCATACACCTTGCAATCATCGGACAAAGATTTTCATCCGATGATCGAACTGTCATACAATTTTCATACAGCGGCCCCATCCTGCCTCGACCCTCGCACAGTTCAATTAGCAGTCTTTAGCAGAAATCACTTGGATGAATTTCGTTAATTGACTGCACGGATTTTCATTTGCGCATGTGCAGTTTAAATCGTACGTACGAATTTTGATGTACGGAAACGCCACCAACCTGGCAAAAATCGTACAATCGACCGAAGTTTTCTAGCATGCTGGAAAGACAAACGTATGATTGTACAGTTGTAGACTCCCCATCAACCTTACGAATATGGGACGGAAATGAAATCGCAAGCGAAAATCGGCCGATGTTTGTAAGGTGCAGCAGGTAAAACCAGTACAAGTTGCCTACTTTTATCCCCCTCCCCCCACCCCCTCCTCCATGCACATTTCCATCCTCTTCAAGATACCTAGTAGTACATATAGTGTGGCAACATGAAAACAGTGAGATTTGCTGAAGTCTTTTATCAGTCTTTGAATGCAGAGGAAAGCCGTTTATATTGCTCTCATGAATCTGGGGTCCCGTTTCCTTTCACACGGCCGTTTTACTCAAACTTGGCTTGACAGCGGCAACGCGCACGAGCCTGGACTGCACCTAGGGAGAAAAGAATGAGCAAGCCAGAAATAAAATCACTTACTGACACTGGTGGACTGAACAGCGTACTGGCTTTTTATATATCTGAAGGTATTCCACAAGTGACATCTTCCAGCATTTAGGCTGGGTTCACACCTAGGCGTATCGACTGGCTGTATCCCAATGGATACGTGCGGCAAATACGCCCCAAAGAAGCGCCTGTACTTCTTTGGGCGTAGGACGTTTTGTAGCGCGTTCATACGGCCTGTAATACGCCCAGGTGTGAACCATGCCCATAGGAAATAATGGGATTTCGGTGTGAGCGTTTTGCAGGGCGTAGGAACGCGCTACAAAATGCCCAGGTGTGAACCGGGCCTTAGTGCTTGGTGTTCCTGTCCACTATTACAGAGTTCCAGTTCCTCTCGTTTTATTTTTAATAATCATAATACAAATGTACAATTCAAGGAGAAATAGGAAGAGCTGAAAGCTGCCAATGACCACAGCAAGTGTGCTGACCCAGGAACTTGGGCACAGAGATTAGTCTAATATATGAGATGAGAGATTATCAGTTCTTTATCGCTCCATCTTCTACCCAGGAAGGAAAATAGTGACAATTGTTTAATTTAAAGCAACACTGAATAGGACTGAGAATTATTGGGCCCCTAACAGGCTCATAGACGTCTTCCTTCACTCTTCTTCTCCGTTCAGCTACCGGGAGAGAGGAAAGAAAGCCTTGTGCAAACTCCAAGTTGCTTCATACTAAGATGTGCGTGGACTTGGTGCAAACTGGTTCACCCGCACAAAGCCATTAGTGACGCATTCCCCTCCTGGCCCAATCAGCTGCGGTCAGGGCATTCCCCAGCCCTTTATGTGTAGCTGCGGGGCCGGGAATGCAGCTGAAGGAGATGCATCTCTGATAGTTTTGCGCGGTCTCGGCTGAACTCTTTTCGCACCAAGCCCATGCACATCCCTACTCAGTGCTTATATAGGGCTGAGAGTCCTGGTCACATGCCCATGTGACACCGCTCGACCAATCAACAAGGGTGAGCTGCTGGGAAGGGGACATTATAGCAAACCTGTTGCTTTGCCGTGCATAGGTAAAGCACAGGTTTGCTTCAAAGCTGAACTCCAGGCAGATGTTACCAAAAAAAAAGAAGCTAATCCAGGTAGACTGATGAAAACAAAGCACCTTATTTGTATGAGTACTAGTCTGAGGTGGGGGGAGCAGTGTAGTCCAGTCAGACTCCATTGCACAGTACTACCCATTTACCACACTGAAAGCTTGCTGGTAGGAGGG